TAAGTTTTACAGTGTTATCGCTGTTTTATTTTATAACTAAATTTAAAGTTTTTTTTATGAAGGATTATTCAAGATTTTTTAACTTTGTGAACTTTTTTATAATTACACAATATAGCTCTTATTTTTTCTTGATTATGCAGAGAATTAATTAAACCTTTAAAACAAACAAATTCTATGTGTCTAGAATGGAAATTTATGGTCAAAACAAGATAAACTGTAAAGCATACTGGAAAGCCGCCACCAGTGGCTTGCGGTAGTGAAAGAATTAAACCATAACTAAATGTAAATTAAACATAAAACGAACAACTCTATTAAACCATATGAACTAAATATAAAACGAGAAACCCCAACATACTGCCTTTATTTTTTCTCTGCCTGCAAACTCTAATAATCACAAAATATGTATAATTGCGTCATAATTTTGGCTAGCTTCTAAAACAAAGTAATAATAAAGCAAGTAAAAAAAAAATTATAAATATAAAAATATCTATATTTGTATAATTTTTCACTAAATCACAAATATTTTTTGTGATTTAGTTAAATTTTTTATCTTTTGAGATGAGTTACCGACACCCAGAAGGATTCTGGGTGTCGGTAACTTGGATTCTGCAAGGAAGCAGTTGCAACAAGCCTTTTAACAGTGCCACCTATTCCGTCACATGGAGATTTGCCATGGCTTGTTGCAAGAAATTCCAACAAACATTTCCAATGAACAGAAAAATTTTGAGTATGGTGACATTTGTATTTTGAGTATGGTGACAATTGTAAAAATGTTTGCCATTTTTATACTACCCTGCACAGCCATCCAAAAAATTACGACCTTTTGTAATTGTGGGACAAAGATGAGTTTTACTATGATTAATGGTTTTATGAATAACATCATTGATAAATCCAAAATCATGATTCAAATCATCTGAAATTAGACATAAAGAAGATATTTCCAATTTCACTTTTTTTTAGGACGAAGAGAACATTGACTCTTGCTTCAATGGTAACTCTGTATCTCCTCCTTGTACTACAAAATTGTAATTCTCTGCAAAATCTGCCAGTACAATAGCCTCATCAATACTAATTGTTTCTTTGAGATGCTTCAGATAGCTGATTATTTCAAGGTCTACAGCACTTAACATTATTTAAACATTTTGGTGTATTGTACACACACAAACAGAATGTGTACCTTTTAGACCAGTAAGAATGCACCATTTAGGCTGAAGACTGCAAAGTTTAGAAAACCCAATTTTATGGTACAGGGATTTTTAGGGTCAATGTCAAAATTGTTGCTGGCTTCTGTTAGAAACTTTAAGTTTTTCTTTCATGCATTTAAGAAGAAAGTCTAGATCATCAGCTTTGGTTTGAATTTCCTTTAGAACTTCATTTTTGTTTGGTGCAACTAAATTAGTTTCAGTGACATCCACATCAGTTGCAAATTTCTTAATAACTACTTCTTCAACTTGCTTTATCTTTCTCTTTTCAAATGAGGGCTTGTTAGAGGTTTTAGGTAAATGAAGTTTTAGAGGAGACACTTCAAGTTCACATAAAGTACTTTTAATCAATGATCTTGCTGATTCCAGTATTATTTCTTTATCCATATTCTCTTCAGGTAACTTTATCTCCAACTTGTTTTCTTCTGATTTTTCAATTGATGCTAATTTATATCTGCATTTTTTGACAAAGCTTTTCACCTAGAAAATTTGCCTTTACTGGATATGTACTATTAAACAATCAGGACTCGGCCCCAGCTAAAAATGAGACTTTTTGCAAATTGGACCCTGGCCCTGGCAAAATTGTAAGATTTAGCAGGGGTTGATAGCCCGGGCTAGAAATAAATTTATAATTCTTTATATATTATAATTTTATACTTACATTTATTATTTATTAAATTCTGGCATATATTTATGCCAATATTTAATAAATAGGGACAGATACAGTAAAAGGATGCAACCCATTAAAGAAGCTAAGCAAGAATGAGATAATCGGTCCTTTGAGCATTGACCATGATTGGGGAAACACCATAAAAGAGGAAGGCTAAAGCCTGCTGCTGATGATGATGATCATGATGATGATCATGATGATGATCATGATGATGATCATGATGATGATCATGATGATGATCATGATGATGATCATGATGATGATCATGATGATGATCATGATGATGATCATGATGATGATCATGATGATGATCATGATGATGATCATGTTGATCATGTTGATCATAATGTTTATAAATGCATATATATACAAAATCAATCAGAAATTTTGAAAAAAAAAAGTACTTTAGGATGTATAAATGTTTATGCAGCCCAAAAATAATATCAAATATAGCTAAAATAGAATTTGGCTGCCAAGAATTTCATTATTGTACCTCGCAACACTTTCACAAAACTAAAAGTTGTGATTACTATAAATACCTTTTATAACTTTCATAAACAGATTGTGTTAAATTAGTTGCCTAACACTTTAAATAAACATGCTTATGATGTAGACAAGTTGTTGATTTAACATTGATTATTGATAGCCCAGTCCTTCACATTAATACTTTTCTTTCATATTCAGAAATATCTTTAAAAAATTTAATTCCAAGCAATGATGTGTATGCTGCAAGATGACATTCACTTTCTAGCTTGATTCCAATGAAACACTGTTGGCTGTTTGCTATTACTGAGAAACTGAATTAGCAAATAAGACTCATTAATTATTTAATCTAAATTTAAAATATTTTTTATGTTTATACTACTGGTGTTTCAAAATTTTTATATGACATAATTGGCGTTACAAAACTAAATTTATAGATCACAGCAGATGTCGCAAAACTATATTTTTACATGACATATCACTTCACAAAACTTTATTTATGTGTCAAAACCAACCTTAAAAAACTGTTTTTACACATCACAACTGAACCAGAAAAGTCAGGAAACTCCAGGAATTAGAGAAAACGTTAACTCGTTTTATGGTAAAGTAATTTTTGACCATTTTGAAATAAAAAATAGTTATCAAACTTTTTGAATTAGGTTATTTTCTTTTCTACTTTGAATTAAGCATCTTCAAAAATGGTACCAATTTTCAGTCAGTTTCTTCCACTAAAATGTAAACTATTTACACATAAATTATTGCTAAAAAATCTTTGATAGAGAATTTGAGTCCGAATAAGGAATTTTTTGTATAAGTCTAAAATGACATATTTAAATTATTCTTCAAGAAACCAAAACCATCTACTTTATAAAGATAGCTTTGGATCATCTACTTTATTGGGAAAAAAAAATTGAATCCATGAGACTTAATGGACAACTCTGAGAGTTAATGAAAGCAACCCATGGTAACAGAACAAAAAGTTTGACCGACCATTTTAAAATTAAAAAATAATCATCAAAAAATTTCGTTATTTTCTCTACATTTGTGAATTCAGCACCCTCAAAAATGGTCAGGTACCAATTTTTAGCCACACTCTTCCATAAGATCTTAAATTATTCATTAAAAGGTACTACTACAAAGTCCATAATGGCAGATGTGGAAAAAAATAAGGCATTTTAGGCTGATTTCAAAATGTCACAACTTTTGAAGCATTTTGGATTTGTGAGCTCAAACTTTACATTTTTTCATGTTACACTGATAGGTACCACTGGTTAAAATTTGAAAGAAATCTGAGAGACTAAAAAATTTCAGTAACCCTCTCTTTTTTTTATTGAATAAAAAAAAAGAGTAATCTGAGAGAGCAATTTTATTAGGTTTTAAAACTGAATGAAATCTTTTTTACATGTCTGACAAAAAGTAATTATGAGATGGGATCGACATAGTGTAAAAAGGTTGATAGAAAGTTTGAGACAACCAAATTCAAATTCTACTGTTTTACTCCCAATTTAAACATATTAGAAAAAAACTATCTGTTCCAACTATAAGTTATAGTATAAACTATAAGTTCTTGTTCCGGTAGAAACTTATGTTTGAAAAAGCGGAAATAAAAGAATTACAAAATGGAAAAAGTATTGTGTACAATATTTTCATCATTTTGTATAAAATATAAATACATTCAAATTAACTTACATCTTCAATACCTTGAATATATTTTTTCAGTGACTTTTTAAATTACAGTTAATTTATCTTTAATGTGTATGAAAATATTTTTTATTTTATTAATTGTAGTTTATTATTGCATTATTTTATTATTGTATTTGCAAATATTTCTTAGGTTGAAAAAGTAATGTTTTTGAAATCTATGTTACTGTTGTTTTTCAGGTAGATTTTTTGTAACTTTCAAGATGATAACCAAAATCGTAAAATCAATGATAACAATATTAAACACTAAAAAAAAATTTAACAGGGATGTTTTGAGATATTGGGCCCAAAGTTAAGTCATATAAATAAGTTATTTTATTAATTTTTAAGCGTGTTCCCTTCATATTTCAGTATTTTAAGTAAATTTATTGAATTCCGCATCATAAATGCATTATAAAATTTTGTTCCTTATTTTATTTAAAAAGTTTTTTTTTTTAATGTCATGAAAACTGGGTAGTTTTAAGAAACTAAGTTAATTTTAAAATCGCCATATCTATTTAATTGCTCGAAATTTTAAGTTGAAATTTTCCACACAATGTTTTTTTTATAAATAAAAATCATATACCAAAAGATGAAAAAAAAAGGAAGATATATAGTTTAATGGACTGGGTGATTTGATGTAGAATTACCATGTTGTTATTAGGAATAAAACTGTTCTTTTTAAACAAAACAGCTTTTTATCATAAAAAGATACATGTTAAACTTCCTGATGTTGAAAATTAAATTTTTATCTTCAAGTATACCAGAGTTACCCCATTTTCCAATATTTATTTTTCAATGCTAAGATTGCTTATTTAGAGTAATAATATACTGGGAAAACTTCTAAAATTCCACTCAAAAATATAAGTTTTGCATTAATTTTATGCTAACAGAATATATTATTTAAAAATCATTAAAAACTTTTTTTTTCTCGATTTTACAAAAATAGCTTAAAGTTTACTCAC